CCGGACAGACAAACGGACAGACAGACGGACAGACAAACAGACGGACGGACACCGGACATTTGTATACCATAATACGTCCCGTCAAAAATTGACGGGGGTATAAAAAGGAGCTTTGATGATCACTATCATCTTTATGAAAATATTTTTTAATTAAAAATATTTTATTCAATAAAACTTAAATTACGAACTGTATAAAACTTAACAATTGCCACATGTCATTTAAACCAAAACTAAATCTAATCATATATATTTTAATAAATGTAATTATACGAGTCATTGTAAACTGCGTTTAAAAAACCCGAATTGAAACGATATTATTGATTACAAGTAAGCGCGTTGTACTTTGAGCTACCATCTTAATGTTAGGTAAAAAAAAGTGTCTTTGTAAATGTGATTAATTGATTATGAGTGTTATTTAGGACAAAATTACATGTCTCGATATATACAGGACCTGTTCAACAATTATTTACACAATGCAGAAAACAGACAGTTATTCAATCTTAATGTGAAAATGATGGCCTAAAGATCAATATGATCTTTCAATAATATTTTATAAACACGACATAATCTCAGGTAAATGTAAAGTAGAAACTCTAGTTACAATAGGAAATAATGATATCCTGTTGTTAAAAAATTGTTCAAACTTTCTTTCTCTTTTAAATTTTTGTAAAGTAAATAAAACTATCAGAGTTGGTTTTAAGATTTATTTAGTGAACTTCGGGATGTTTTGAAAGTGGTCATTGGTACTGAAGTCCTTTTGGAGCTATAAATTCTCAATTCTTTTCTTTTCCTTACAAACATCTTCCTATCAAATAGGAGAAAAATCGTTTGGTTTACCGACCTGTTCATTTGTATATACATGTAGCAATATTGAGGGTAGAAAATAAAAAATGTTGATATTACAGCAAAAGTGTAATTGTTTATAATAAAATATTATATATATTGTGGATAAGAGGATGGAGTAGTGCTTTAGAATGAAGTCCACCGTTTACTGTGGAGAAAATTGAAGGAAGAACTTTAGAAAGATGTTTAGTCGAATATCTAGACCCAGCTATAAAAAGTTCTTTTGAAAGATTTTTGTTGAGGTTATGTATCCAATCTAAATACGGAATATGTGTCGGAAAACTTTAGCGAACTTTTAGAAAATGCAAAATTTTGGGCGTCATTCCCCGTAAACTGGTATTGTACTCTCTATTGCATGTATCTATGCTATGATTTGGTCAAAATGAATCGACTTCTTAAATACTAACTCATCAATTTTATTTGTCGGTATTTTTTCTTTTAAAAAGATATTGAACCATTACACATACTGTCAAAAGTAATATACACCTCTGAAGCAATATTCACCTCTGAAGCTAACAAAACCTTTAAATAAACTTATTAAGAAGGGATATAGTTACGATACTGTTGTCAGGTCATTAAAGATTGCATATTTTGGCGTTAATATTGATTCACTTATAGGGTCTTTGCATCGGCACTAAACACATTTATTTAAAAACCAGTTGTTGGCATGACACGGGTTATGTTCTTCTCATATATGTTATGATGGTATGATACTAAACCCCTAACGGGAAGGATTGTGCCTGATATTCATATGATGAAGACATAATCTTTCAATCAGTTTAATTGAAGTCTGGAGCTGGCATGTCAGTTAACTGCTAGTAGTCTGTTGTTATTTATGTATTATTGTCATTTTGTTTATTTTCTTTGGTTACATCTTCTGACATCAGACTCGGACTTCTCTTGAACTGAATTTTAATGTGCGTATTGTTATGCGTTTACTTTTCTACATTGGCTAGAGGTATAGGGGGAGGGTTGAGATCTCATAAACATGTTTAACCCCGCCGCATTTTTGCGCCTGTCCCAAGTCAGGAGCCTCTAGCCTTTGTTAGTCTTGTATTATTTTTAATTTTAGTTTCTTGTGTACAATTTGGAGTTTAGTATGGCGTTCATTATCACTGAACTAGTATATATATTTGTTTAGGGGCCAGCTGAAGGACGCCTCCAGGTGCGGGAATTTCACGCTTCATTGAAGACCTGTTGGTGACCTTCTGCTGTTGTCTGTTCTATGGTCGGGTTGTTGTCTCTTTGACACATTCCCCATTTCCATTCTCAATTTTATTTGTAGATTTCTAGAAGGTTAAAGACACCATAGTCAAGCACTTAAGAAACGTATAAACTTACTTCTGCTTTTGAATAATGAAAAAGGAGCTTTGATGATCACTATCATCTTAATGAGAATATTGTTAATTAAAAAATATTTTATTCAGTAAAATTCAAATCATCAACTGTATAAAACTTTAACAATTGCAACATGGCATTTAAACCAGAAGTAAATATAATTAAATATATTTTGATAAATGTAGTGATACGAGTGATTGTAAACTGGGTTTAAAATTATTACTGTAAACAAATTATCTGTTTTTACAGATAAACGCGTTGTGCTTTTCGCTTCCATCTTAATGTTAGATCAAAGAGTTTCTTTGTAATTTTGAATGATCGATATATGTGTTATTAAGGCCGATATTGCATGTCTCAATGAATAGAGCAACTATAAAAAAATAAAGGCAACAGTAGTATACCGCTGTTCGAAATTCATAAATCGATTGAGAAAAAAACAAATCCGGGTTACAAACTAAAACTGAGGGAAACACATCAAATATAAGAGGAGAACTACGACACAACAGAAACACAACATTAAAATGTAACACACACAGAAATGGACTATAATAAAACAATGGCCATTTTCCTGACTTGGTACAGGACATTTTAAGAACCTGGTTTTGTGGCTAGCCAAACCTCCTGCTTTTATGGCAATGTTAAATATAACATTAAAATGACAACATTACATGACAGGACTACAATACAAATAAATGGGAGAACATATAGGACAGAGAAACATACGAATAATAGCTAACAAAAGGTACCAGGTTTAAAATTTAATACGCAAGACGCGCGTTTCGTCCACACAAGACTAGCCAGTGATGCTCAGATCAAAAAAGTACGAAAGCCAAAACAAGTACAAAGTTGAAGAGCATTGAGGACCAAAAGTTCCGAAAAGTTGTGCTAAATACGGCAAAGGTTATATGTCTGGGATAAGAAAATCCTTAGTATTTAGAATAATTCATACTTTTGCAAACAGTAAATTTATAAAAATGACTATATAGTAGATATACATGATAACACCGAAGTGGTGACTAACTACAGAATAAAAACGGATACATAAAACAACATAAAAAAGCACATAAAAATTCACAGCCGAGTTAGCCAAAGAGATCAACGCTAAAAAAAGGTGATGTCACATTTGAATTTCTGAAATTTCCCCAAAATAGGATAGAATTAGGATAGAATTCAAGATTTGGTTTATAATACTCATATAACTTTTATCAATAACAATGAAAATTACAATACTAATTAATATAAAATGTGGTAGTAATAAGATAATTAATAGTATTATCTAGCTATGTCGGTGTTTCTTCTAAATCAAACTGTAAACCAAATATATCGTATAAATTTAGTTGACCCAAACTAAAATCTAATTAACGAACTGGGTGATTAATAATCTTTACCATAACACACGAATACAACAGAAAAAAATAAGATTTACAACTACAAACGATAAGACATTTGACAAAATCCGATGAGAATAACAAATATATCATCAAAACAAAATACATGAATTTTGGATAGAAAGGTACCGTGACACGTCTTATAGCAATACGAATTCACACTCAGCAAAACAGTCACAATCGGGAATAAGTCACGTTCGGTAATTAAAAGATCAGACGACGTAATGTCAAACCACAATCTAACACGTGGTAAAAATGTCCTTAGTAAGTTTGGACAAGGACACATCGTATGGATCGACCAATTCGTGATGGTATCCGTAAAATTTACGGAGTGTCATTTTTAATCTGTCCTCCTCATAACTTTGTTTGAGCAGTTTCTGCGTTAGGAGCACACTCCTGTATATGAAGTCCGTATAGTGTGAACATGCACGAGCATAACGTATCAACTAAGATATTAAACACCATACGAAGGGGCAGAGGGTATGTTACTGCTGAGAAATGGAAAATTGATAATTGGGAAGTTGAAATCGTCCCGTTTATCATAGATTTTCGTGTGAAGTCGTCCATCTGTGTCAATATTGAGGACAAGATCAAGGTATGAAGCAGTCCTTCTAGTATCAGTAGTATCCTTAATTTCAAGTTCACTGGGATATATGAGATGTAAGTATTGGCTGAAATATGGGTTATTCAATGATAGGACATCATCAATATATCGGAAAGTAAAATTAAAGAATTTCGCAAGGTGCTTTTTCTTTTTGTCTTTTAGAAGGTTCTGAATGAATTCTGCTTCATACGAGTACAAAAACAAATCGGTCAGTAGGGGTGCACAATTAGTACCCTTTGGAATACCGACTGTCTGTTGAAATATAAATCCTCCAAACTCAACAAATATATTGTCGATCAAAAAGTCCAACATTTTGATAATATCATCTTCAGTATATTTTCTGGTAGATTCAGTGTGGTTCTTCACAAAATATGAATTATTGTACTAGTAACCCAAAACAAGAAATTTGTATCTACGATTCCCATTTTTATAGAAAAAGCTCTGTTTAATGAGATGGTGAATTCGATCTTTTAACTGAACATGTACTGAATAGTAGTGTAAAGCGTAGAAAAATCAAAAGTCTTTATGTTGCTGCAAAATTGCAAAGATTGTGATCGAAGATTAAGCAGTAGATCTTTCGAATTTTTGAGAATCCACATCTGGTTAACACCACTGGTATATATATCTCATCACAATATTTTTGTGAAGCCCATCTTAAACAGTAGAAAGAATAGTAGTCAGTACTTTAGAAAGATGTTTAGTCAAACATTTTGATGACCCAGCTATATATCGTTCGTTATATGGAGTTTTGTGAAGTTTTGATATCCCTTATAATGATGGTAAATTTCTTTCGTTTTCTTTGATGTTGATACCAAAAGAAAGAAGGACAGATTTGCTACAGTTTATTAAGCAATGCAGAACATAGAAAGTAATTTAATCTTACTGTACAATGATGGTATAGAGATCAATATGAACGTTCAATTGTATTTAATAAACACAGTATAAGGTAAATGTAAAATGGAAACTGTAATCACATTAGGATACAATGTAGTCCTGTTGTTAAAAAATGTTAAAAACTATCAGAGTTGGTTTTAATATTGACTAAGTGAACTTCGGGATGTTCCAAATATGATCATTGGTATTGAAGTCCTTCTGGAGCTATAATCCCTCAACACTTTTCTTTTCCTAACAAACATCTTCCTATTAAATAGGATAAAAACCATTGGGTTTACCAAACTGTTCAGAGGTGCAAACAGATAAAGGGTCTGAAACAAAACATTTTCGGTAGCATTGTCTGACAAAGAAATAATATCATAGTTGTTTAAAACAGCTGCCACAGTTATCGGCGTCCAACACAAAATATACGCTGAAAAATATAAAAAGACTTTTTTTGAAATATCAATTGTAACCATTCAAATAATAAGTTCTTAAAAAGTACATGTTTTATTATCTTAAGCTATGATGCATGCTTCTCGTATGATTTTTGAGATTAAATATGTTTTACTTCGGTTCTTCATTGCAAAAACTTGAATGATAGTAGCTAGTGCAAAGTGCCAGCTGCATATGGCCGTTCTAACTAGTTTACAGGATCTCTAAAGATAAAGATTGATGACCGCTTAACCCTAAGCTGTAAAAGCTACGTGCGTACACTAGACAATGACATACCTGTGTGGCATAACTATAGCTTGCTTTGTACTAATTCCGACACGCTAAGTAGAATTTTGATTTGCTCGCTCAGAAGGTATAACAGGAAACGTTAAGACATGTGAAACTACTCGGACATTTATTGTGACCAGTCGTTGCTCTTAATTTTAAATCTGATTGATGTTGTGTCCAAAACGTGTTTGCTATTGACATTTTTTTCAAAATACAAGTTTCGTTTTCTAATATATGAAAACTGGTGCCAATTACCATCAGTTTACATCGACAAGGCTGTTTCACTAATATTTTTTAATAGGAAAGTTTATTCTGTGATGCACTATTAGTTTAGCAATCGAACCGTACATTTCTCTTTACGTAATGAAATATACCTTGTCAATTCACATTTTGTTGATATAAAGCAGTATGTTCATAAAAGAAGTAAAACGTATCAAATTACAGATATTTATTTTTTTTCATGTAAATTATACAAATGAATAAGAACTCCACATATTTAAAAAAAAAATGCTGCTTCAAAACAGTAAAAAATGAATATAACAGTTTATAAATTGTACGCGTTCGAAGCGCTCTTTCTGGAATTGCCTTCATCAGGAGAGATCAATACCTAATATTTGAAAGCCAAGGATGTATAAGAACCAAAACATGTGAAAACAATATGATTAAAGGGGACCTGAAAATAATAGCAAAATCCATCTTAAGTTAAGTGTGCCTAAGGGAGTTGGAACATAAAGGCAACAGTAGTATACCGCTGTTCGAAATTCATAAATCTATTGAGAAAAAAACAAATCCGGGTTACAAACTAAAACTGAGGGAAACACATCACATAAAAGAGGAGAACTACGACACAACAAAAACACAACAATAAAATGTAACACACACAGAAACGAACTATAATATAGCAATGGCCATTTTCCTGACTTGTTACAGGACATTTTAAGAAAAAAAAAGTTGGTTGAACCTGGTTTTGTGGCTAGCCAAACCTCCCGCTTTTATGGCAATGTTGAATATAACATTAAAATGACAACATTACATGACAGGACTACAACACAAATCAATGGAAGAACATATAGGACAGAGAAACATACGAATAATAGCTAACAAAAGGTACCAGGTTTAAAATTTAAGACGCGCGTTTCGTCCACACAAGACTAACCAGTGACGCTCAGATCAAAATAGTTCGAAAGCCAAAACAAGTAAAAATTGAAGAGCATTGAGGACCAAACGTTCCAAAAAGTTGTGCCTAATACGGCTAAGGTTATATGTCTAGGATAAGAAAATCCTTAGTATTTAGAATAATTCATACTTTTGCAAACAAGTGTTGTTTCAGATGTTTTTGTTTTCATGAAAGGAAATACTTAACTAACAGCAGTGACTACCACAGCTAGATTTATGTAGTAACGATCACAATTTGATCCTTCTTTTCAATTATGGGCAGTCTTTGATGTCACTGTTCAAATAAGTGGTCACCCTGTTGGTAACTTGATTGCAGGCATTTTAAGTTTGTCCTTTATAGTGACACATAGTCAAGGTAAGAACAGGACGGGGTTTATCTGCACGTTGAACTTGCTAAACGCACATCATTTTGTGCTTGTACCAAGCCAAGCTATCTTATATGTTGTCCATTGTTATTTGTCTTTAATGGTCAATATTTTCATTTTGGTCAGTTTGGTCTGTTATACTGTACCACACTTTTTGTGATTCCTGTGATCCTTATCATTGATAAATTTAATCGGTAACTAGTATGGTAATGAGATGTAACATGATTTCCACCAGAAACGGAAATGACGTGAATGTAAGCAAAAGTAAGGCGAAAGATACCAAAGGGACGGGCATTCATATTCATAAGTCGAAAATAAACTGACAACGTCATGGCTAAAAAAGAAAAAGACCAACAGACAAACATAAGTATAGTCACAAAACACGACATAGAAAACTAAAGTCTGCTTTATTTTCAATAGATAAACTTACCTATTACGACGACAAAGAGTAATTTTATGGTTTTTATTTTTGCTGTGGTTATTATTTTATCTTTACCTTGGATTTCACCATCTGACTCTAAAATGGAAAGTAACTTAGTGAAATAGTTATAACATGTTCGAAATTACTCTTACTAATAGTTTAGATAAATTCCGGGTAAAGGATTACGATGTAAGTATTGTATAAAACTAAACTATTCCATCTGTTCGTTAATTTTGAATATCATATAACAAATAGTTTGATATATATTCATTTTTTACGAAGGAACTTCTTGAATTACTAAAAATCATTCAAAACGTACTTCATATGTTATAAAGTGTTATTAAGGGGTATACAAGTTTGTTTTATTGTTGTTGTTGTTTTTTTTACATTGTGTTTACATCACCCTGACCAAATCAACAAAACAAAAACACTTTTTTACTCCTAGTGGATTAATGGGAGTTTTTTAATCAAATATTTTGGTCAATAGTCAACTACCGCAAGAACATGTTCACAAACTATTAAAATTTGCTTTTCTTCTTTTTGATTTAGTTTCTTATTAGTTTGTGTTTTCTTTTCGATTGTTTTTTCTTTTGCAAAAAAGTAGTGGATTTAGATTAATAAATTAAGCTTTTGATTCGGACACCAGGGCTCTCATCAGGGCCAAACTCCATAGCAGTGGCTTTTCTGGTACGCGAGGCTGACTTGTCATAAGATTAGCGACTCGACATCGCTGTTGTTTGGAGTTTGCTTTAGGGCCAACTTACCATTCGTCGAGCTTTTCCGCCGTTTTGAGACAACAAATCCACTTCGGTGCCGGCGACTGATAGTGACAAAAATTAGGATGTAACATATTGTTATGGTAAATATCGGTAATACCAACATAACCAATACGTCAAAAAACAAAATTACCTGCAAGACGAAACAAAATAAAATTATACTTTTATACACTTCCATAGTTATGTTTGTAAAAGTATTGTTGGATTTTATTCTCTCATTATCTGCTCTATAAACATAAGAGTTTTGCAAAAATTGCTATCGTTTGACGTAACTTATAAATCGAGCCCTTGTGTTTTACTTTTTGATTGTTACATGTTTTGACATGTTGAGGCGTTTATAGCTTACTTTACGATATAGGTTTTTGTATAGTTTGGTTCATTGGATCATACAGCATTTTATTATTTTATATCATTGAACATTTGCAACACATTCTTTTCGTTATTCAATGAACTTGTGACTATCATCATCATCATCATCATCATCATCATCATCATCATCATCATCATCATCATCATCATCATCATCATCATCATCATCATCATCATCATCTTCATCATCATCATCATCATTATCATCATCATCATCATCATCATCATCATGCACGCACTTGAAATATCTTTTTTTTTTATTTTGTGACTGCCCATGATTTAAACATGTTAAAAAGGGATCTAGACCAGCTCAGAAGTATAATTATTATTCATTTAAGTTCTTATTCCATTTACCGGATAATGGAATGTTAAATTTAACTATATGTTTTCTGATATTATCTTTTAAATCTATATCTCCTTTAGTACTAGGGACCTCGGTGACCGAGTGGTCTAAGTAGTCAAAGTACTTTCTCACTAGCCTGTCAACACTGAGCTGGTAAGGTCGATTACCGTAATTGCAGGTGCGATCGACTCCAGTCTTAATTGACTAGATTTGTTAGTTTCCTGCCGAAGGTTGGTAGTTCTCTGCGGGCACTCCGTCTTCCTCTACCAATGATTACTGACCGCCACGAAACACATTAATGTTGAAAGTGGCGTTTAACATCAATCAATCAATCCTTTAGTACGTGTAAGTTGATATACCTTTGGATAATCAAATTCATGATAACAGGCACCGTCGTCTTCGTAAAATTTTATAGAGACAGCATACTGAATTCCTAGAACCAATGCAATGATCCATGCTGATAGTGCTAGTCCATATCGGTAGACTCTTCCGTTAGATACTGTCGAGACTGGTCTCATAATAACATAAAGACGATCCACTGATAGAACCACAATAGAAAAAGTGGACGCATAGTAAGCAACCATCGAAAAATACCCGTAGTACATATAACAAATATACTTCGTCCATTCGTGATCAAACCAGTTGAATGTCGTTTCTGGTAATAGAAAGAATACTCCTACGGCAAGATCTACAAAATAAATAACCCTGATATTTTATAGGAAGTGTGACATTACAATCTGTACTTTTATATGTTTTAATTATATAATAAATAATGTATTAAGCTTTGAAAGATTTCTACAAAGGGAATCACGTATTAATTTGGTACTGAAAGATAATTTAAAGTAAAAATGATAACTCGATAAACAATAATATATATACACATGACTGGATAACACATGCTTAATAATTGATCGGACAATTAATTTGTAAAATTACGCCTTAATAATTGCAACTGTAATACTTTTGAGCGTTCATGCAGTGGAATAACATCTATAAACTTATGATACAATTTCGATGCGCACGCCTTGGATTTCAGGAATAACTTTCTTTCAGTATTTTGAGACCCAAAAATAATGTTTAACCGATTCCATAAAACACAAAAGACAATAAAAAAAGCAAATGGTATATGCAAAACAGCCAGTAAATTATTTTAAAAATAATATGATAATAACTGAAAATGTTACAGAAAAACGAGGAACATACAAACGATAAAAGGGAGGCAATAGCTACTAAATAGACATTCAAAAACAAAAGTCAAAAAAATTACTGACAACGCCATGACAAAAGGGTCGGCACTGGCTCAATGTTTGAAATACATACAGATGATTTCAATTGTTGTAAAAACGACATAGGATTACCTTCATCAGATATGCGTTGGACCATTCACAAATTTGAGAAACCGAATAAATAAATCAGTTATATGATTTCAAAGCACCGAAATTAAAAGTCAAATCTCCTTAGGTTAGCTTTCTCATGGGGAAATGTAACCTAGATTTAGAACATTTACAAATTTATGTTGTGCAATCTTTTCTGAGTTGTGTTTCATTGTGAATTTGTCCTGTCCGTTTATGTTGCGCAATCTTATCTGAGTTGAGTTTCATTGTGAGTTTGTCCTGCCCGTTTATGTTGCGCAATCTTTTCTGAGTTGTGTTTCATTGTGAATTTGTTCTGCCCGTTTGTGTTGCGCAATCGTTTTTGCGTTGTGTTTCATTAAGAATATGTACTGCCCGTTTATGTTGCGCAATCTTTTCTGCGTTGTGTTTCATTGTGAATTTCTCTCCGTTTTTGTTGCGCAATCTTTTAAGCGTTGTGTCTCATTGTGAATTTGTCCTGTCCGTTTATGTTGCGCAATCGTTTGTGCGTTGTGTTTCATTGTGAATGTGTCCTGCCCGTTTAGTGGTGCAATCTTTTCTGCCTTGTGATTCATTGTGAATATGTCCTGCCCGTTTATGTTGCACAATCTTTTGTGCGTTGTGTTTCATTGTGAGTTTTTTATGCCCGTTTGTGTTGCGTAATCTTTTCTGAGTTTTGTATCATTGTGAGTTTGTTATGCCCGTTTGTGTTGCGCAATTTTTTCTGCGTTGTGTTTCATTGTGAATATGTCCTGCCGTTTGTTTTGCCCAATCGTTTCTGCGTTGTGTTTCATTGTGAATTTTTTCCTGCCTGTTCATGTTGCGGAATCTTTTCTGCGTTATGTTTTATTGTGAATATGTCCTCCCCGTTTATATTGGGCAATCTTTTCTGAGTTGTGTTTCGTTGTGAATTTGTCCTTCCCGTTTGGGTTGCGCAATCGTTTCTGCGTTTTGTTTCTTTCTGAATATGTCCTGCCCGTTTATGTTGCGCAATATTTTCTGCGTTGTGTTTCATTGTGAATATGTCCTGCCCATTTATGTTGCGCAATCTTTTCTGCGCTGTGTTTCATTGTGAATTTGTCCTTCCCGTTTGTGTTGCGCAATCGTTTCTGTGTTGTGTTTCATTGTGAATATGCCCTGTCCGTTTATGTTGCGCAATCTTTTCTGCGTTGTGTTTCATTGTGAATATGTCCTGCCCGTTTATGTTGCACAATCTTTTCTGCGTTGTGTTTCATTGTGAATGTCTGTCCGTTTATGTTTTGCAATCTTTTATGCGTTGTGTTTCATTGTGAATTTGTCCTGTCCGTTTATGTTTCCCAATCTTTTCTGCGTTGTGTTTCATTGTGGATTTGTTCTGCCCGTTTATGTTGCGCAATCTTTTCTGCGTTATGTTTCATTGTATATATGTCCTCCCCGTATATATTGCGCTTTCTTTTCTGAGTTGTGGTTCATTGTGAATATGTCCAGCCAATTTATGTTGCGCAATCTTTTCTGCCTTATGTTTCATTGTGAATTTGTCCTGCCCGTTTATGTTGCGCAATCTTTTCTGCGTTGTGTTACATTGTGAATTTGTCCTGTCCGTTTATGTTTCCCAATCTTTTTAGCGTTGTGTTTCATTGTGGATTTGTTCTGCCCGTTTATGTTGCGCAATCTTTTCTGCTTTGTGTTTCATTGTGAATTTGTCCTGCCCGTTTATGTTGCGCAATCATTTCTGAGTTGTGTTTTATTGTGAATTTATCCTGCCCGTTTATGTTGCGCAATCTTTTCTACGTTATGTTTCATTGTGAATTTGTCCTGCCCGTTTAAGTTGCGCAATCTTTTCTGCGTTGTGTTTCATTGTGAATTTATCCTGCCCGTTTATGTTGCGCAATCTCTTCTGCATAGTGTTTCATTGTGAATTTGTCCTGCCCGTGTATGTTGCGCAATCTTTTCTGTATTGTGTTTCATTGTGAATTTGTCCTGCCCGTTTATGTTTTGGTTTTATTCGGTCCATGGTTTCTTGTGTTGACATGTTTTTATCTGATTTGTTCATTTTGCTTAATCTTGTTGGTTTCTCTGTACTTTTGTAGACTTCAGTTCAAGCCATCATTTTTATTGTGGTTATTTGTATTCTCTCCTGTTTCAACTTATTGACGTTTAGTGGTTCCTGGTATCATCTTACTTTTTTTCAGTTTTTAAACTGATATGAATATTTTTCATCGCAACATTGCTTTACAATAGACCTATAAGAGGGTCTAGATGGGGTTAACAAATTAAGAATAATGGGTAAAATGTGCAGAATAAATGACAAAAAAAAAAGAGAGAATAGAGACAAAAACGGCAAAAAATAAAGAATAGAGAAAAAATGATGTGCAAGAATATAAAGAATAGAGAATAATAGGCAAAAAATATAAAGAATAGAGAAAAATAGACCAATAAATAAAAAGAAGAACACAGAAATGCAGGATGCCTATTCAGACCCTCCTATAATAAACCGGACGTACGTCCTACGCACATCGAATACTTTCATTGATTTATAATAAAAGTCATAAAAAATTGATGATCTAGAACAAAGATTGATATTTTTACCTGAAAATGCTAAGTTCTTGACGAAAAATCCCATTCTTGACTTCCGTTTGCTGGCGAATAATAGAATGATGACTATAATGTTCATTGACAAGATACCAATTAGCAGACACAATGCTATCCATTTTAGAGAACCATATAATGACTACAAAATAAAAAAAAAAAAACGTGAAAAGATAATAAATTTGTTCGTAAATACTAATTTGATCTAGAAAAATGTAAACACTAAACAGAGTTGAGATGGCTCATTTTTGCAACCAAATGTGGATCTGTTAATGTTAATTGTTTAACCATTTGTAGATGAAGACATACGTATTATATATATTGGTAAGCATACTACATTGAATTGAAATACGAAATTCTTTCTTTGTCAACAGTGGAATTCCTATCACGTTATGCCAACCTCAAAATTGTTGTCAACTGCAACGCAGACGTTCGACAACAGACATTGCATAACTAATATTAAATATACCTAACTTGATCTAAGATTAAGGCAAAGATAGAAATTGGACAGACGGGATTATTAGTCAATGATTCATTTTCAAATACGAAACTTTATTGAGATCTTTGTATTAAAGGCAAATCAAACAAGCCGTACAATACATTGTAACATGTTTTGTATTAGCTTGTTCAACAATTCGAAAGTTTTATGACCGCAAAGCCAGATACGCAGTAAAACAAAATTTGTACTTGTAACAAAAAAATGACGAAGTTCACGAATGAAACAAGAATAGCATACCCATTCGTAGATGCAGATAACAACCATGGGTCTATATGAAGTTAATACAAATAGAGGCAGAAGATACCATTGGACATTCGAAAATCATAGGTATAAAAAATGATAATGAAGTTCACAAAAAAAAAATTGACAAAACTTCAGACTGAGCAGCTGAAACCCACCAAAAACCGGGTGTGATCTTAGGTGTGGAATGGTCATCACATGTGACAACCTTCTTGTTACTTCAATCTATAAAATACTAAGAGTGATTATGCATCATGCAATTAAGGATTAGTGATTGACTGACTCTTATCAAACTTTAAGCTATTACTAAATTCGGAAACCATCGGTCATGTCAATTTTCGAGCCCGAAAAAATGACAGAATATTGATTTTGTTAATTGAAAAATCGTTTTTCAGGACAAATGATAGACACGACTGATACAGGTGAAAAATTAAAAAAAGCACAAAGTAAAACACTTAGACTATTGTGTTATACGTTGTGTGTTGTGGACTTCCGTGGTTTATCATATTTTTTCGACTTAAAGATTTTGATTATTTTGTTTGTATTTTCTTATTTATGAATAGTGCATTTTTTTTTTAAAAACCAATAAAATCATAGGTAAGGTTTATCATTTGGTAGACCAATATCGACATCCATAACAACTCATATCTAACAATTGGTAATGCAACTGATCTCGGTAAAAACTTATTTATCAGTGACCTTTCGATACCGTGCATATATCTCATCTTGAAAAAAAAACTAATCATAGATACCAAGATCGTGTACACGAGATGCGCGTTTCATCTACGGAAGACTCATCAGTGATGCAAATTAGAAATGCCAAATAAAGTACGAATTGGAAAAGCATTGATGACCTTAAATTCTGAAAGTTTTTTGCCAAATACAACTATGATATGATTGTTCATTTATTTTTCGTTTATTGTCTGAATATAAAAAGATAAAGAATAAACGTTAATGACACGTTTAAACCCTGCGCGTGTCAATGTTACTTTCCAAAGTCAGTAACCTTGTCTATAGTTGTCGTTTGTAACATCTAATGCTTTTTGTAATTTTGAGAAATGGTGTGAAAGGCAAATTTGTTATTGTTTCTCATAATTTATTCGCAGTGTTTGTTAACTCTGTACGATTTACAGCTTGACGCATTGTATACATATCTATCTTTTGCTAAAGACGGTATGCTGCCCTGAAAAAATTTTTTTTTTGTTTTTTCTCTCACCGACGTATGAAATAAAAAAATACAGCCAAATGTTGATAAATCGTTTTTTTTTTCTTCTCTGTATCATTAAAGTACATGGGGTATGCTACTTTGAAAAGTAATGGATTGAATTACAATTCCTTGCTCTTGAAATGTTATCGGTTACATTACAATTACACCTAAATTCAAATGAGACCGAGTAATTAGATGCCTTTTCTTTATATAGAGAATGATAACTAAGGATTACTTATAATTACATTGGATTCTAATATGACGTCCTTATTTCGCTTTGTAAACAAAGCCTTATTCTAATTTGCACAACATATTGTTGACACATGCTCACAAACTAACTGCTAACATTATTTTTATTTTCATTTTTATCCCAACAAAATATATCTTTATATTTTATCTGCTTGTATAAAATCTTATTATATATTGTTAATAAAACATCATATATTGACCCTGCTGTTTGATTTTAAACTTATTGAATATGAAAATGTTTTGTACATAAGTCATTGAAAGAAAACGGTAACAATCTGGTGTATGACTTAATTTCTTAAATATTAAACTGATATTAAAGAAATGTTTTAATCCTTGTATCATTACATTACTTGAGATAAAACTCATGTTTTTAGTATTTTCAATATTTACATTTTACTATGAACTTTAGATAGGATCAGTAGAGTATTTGTTCTTGTGTCAAAGATATTTAACTGTTTTTTATTTATATTTATATTTTCAATCAACAAAAAGATCTGAACATAAAGTGACTAATTGATAATCAAGTGACCTCATTGTCTGCGGGTACATAATCAATATTGACATATGTATTACCGTTGTTATTCACTAATTCAAATTTTATAACACACAATAGGTGCGTTTGGGTAATACAAATTTATTTTATTATTTGCAATAAACAATAAAATTTGTAATTAATAGTTTAGTTTCATTGTGTACAGGGTTGTAAAAAAAATTTGTATTAGATATTTAGAAAACGCATATATTTAGAGTGCATTTCTTTCTAACACAAACGATGCAAACGGCTAAGCGCGCACATGTTTTGATCATTTGTTTCTAACGTACGTTTACAAAGTTTACATAAACTTTGACAAACTATGCACTCGCTAAAAATGCGTCTACAGTTTGTCGTTCATCGTTTGTTAGTACAAACGCTACATTTGTTTCTAACTTCAACCTGATTAAACGATGTATTTGTTTCTACGTTTGCATAAAGTCTGTTTACCAACAACATGTGCATGCATTATTGGAAGTTCAAACAGGGTCAATAAACACTGATTTAACGATGTATTTGTTTCTACTTTTGTAGCGTTAAAAAAACAACAACAAACGCCACAAAACGTTTACAAAATTTTGGTTAGAAAGAAATGCACTCTTAGTTTACTATGGAACACAAAATGCGAAATAATATATTAAAGTTGTCTTATTTATGTCGATCATCAAGGACAAAATAAGGATAATTTCCCTTAATTAATTGTTTACTCTGTTGATTGTAAAGATGTAACAATTTTTTGAACTAAAATATGAGTTAGTTTCAAAACTGTTCCATCAGAGAAAACAAAACGTTTTCAAAGCAGACATCTTTCATCCCAAGAACTCAATCTCAAAAGTAGACTAGAATAAAACTGTTTTCTTTTTCAACCTCGAACAGGAAGGTCTATTGTGGTAGATCTAGAGTTATCTTTCCTACCCTGATTCGTGAAGTTGGTTGAGATGTTTCCATTCCTGCAGGATTTGCTGAAGGTCAACCTTCGGCACCTGTTGTGCAGTCGGGAACCTCTTGTTGTGTACAGGGTAGATTTCTGTCGTCGTCGAGTACTGTGACTACCGGTTGTTCCTGTGTAGTCATTTCCTCTGTAGGTTGAGCGGTATATTCTCCCTTCTCTTCAGTGTTGTTCGTTGAATCTACATCAGGGTCATTTTTAGACTTTCTAGACATTCTCAAGCGGGTTCTCCGTTCTAAGTTGTCGATGGTGTGGACTTCTTAGCTATAAAAGCTTCTAGGCGGCGTTTATTTCTGTCTGTTCTCTCTTTTGATGACCCTTTCCGTGTTTTTGGTAATGTAGGTGACTCGTTCTGCTATTCTTGTTGCCTGAACTTTTTCCATCTTATAACTAGCTTGTAATCTCCATTCCTAGCTGAGAGATTCCAGTTGGCGGGTTGATATTCAAGTAAGTGTATAATGGTAAAGATAACTCCAGTCAATAGTGAAGGAGAGCATGACTCACTGCTCGCTGTCATAACGATTCACCTCTGTCTGACATGTTTAACTACTGTAAATTCATAATTATTGCGAGGTTTTTATTATAGCGACAAATGCGACAGAGTTGTAAACGCAATAATTTAAACTCGCATTTTGAAATATTTTATGAACTAAACAGGATATTTCTCAAAATCGTAAAAATTAAAATTGCATTCAAGTCTAAAATGACAAAATCGCAATAATAAATGCAGTAATTGTATTCGATTAGTCATAGTGACCCTTCTTCAGTCATAGTGAACCATGTTCAGTCATGGTGACCCTTGTTCAGTCATAGTGAACCATGTTCAGTCATAGTGACCCATGTTCAGTCCTACTGAACCATGTTCAGTCATAGTGAACCATGCTCAGTCAAAGTAAACACTGATTTGATGTCTAGGTTAGTCTATGAAAAGGTATATACTATGAGATTTAGAGCGAGGAGCTTGCCCCGAGCTCTTAATTTCATAATATATACCTTTTCATAGACTATCGAATTTAGCACATATTTACAACTCGGGTTTATTGATATTTTATTTTAGCTGACTACTTGTATCACAGGTGTTTGTAAAGCGGAGTTCATTAACGAAGTTTTGTAAAACTACTCACTAGTATCATTGTAAAATATGTGATTTTAAAAGGCCCTTGACTCCAGAATTAAAAGTTGGTAGCTTCTGGTGTAAGTATGTTTATTGGTATAAAGCGGTGTTTTACTATACATGTACTTCTTTACATGGTAAGATGGCAAAATAAATTAACCAAAAGCAGGAAATAATTAAATTGCAATGGAAGTTTTACATGTCTTGAACACATTTTTCAATTTCACAGTTAAACTAAAGCTATAATAAGACAGTATGCAGTGGCGGATCCAAACGAGGGGGTTTGGGGATTAGTAAACTCCAATTGTGGACAATCAATGCTTTTGAATGGTGACATATGGTTGGAACCCCCCCTTTATCCTTGGTTGGAACCCCCTTTTAAAAATGGCTGGAACTACCCCTGGTATGTCTCCATAGATAGTCTAACGGATGCCATTAAAAAGCAGCTACCAATAGATCAAAGATACTAGGGTTTATTTTTTTTTTATTTCAAAGTAAAAACTAAAAGATGTATCAGAACATATATATACACATATATACAAGTCTAAATTGAAAACTTTCTAACCTATGATTGTGTTGGATAAAAACCGCAATTTTTATACGTGTGCATGCAAAACAAATTTCTTGTTAGAGGGGTCTAAATACAGCACAAACAATATTTTCCAAAAGACCATAAAAGTGAAAAAGTATATTTTAACAAAACGCATTTGACTAACAGGTCGAACAACAAATGTTCTTAAACCCTGCTGACTGCCATTGGCGATTTCCAAATAAACGGATCACCGATGTAATAAGTGGATCTTAATTATAAATTTAATACTAAACAGAAAACAATAAACTTGCGGAAAAGATGGTATACCGCAAACAAAAGGTGCAAAGGTTTTTGTACACCATATCCGGATTTCGACAATCAATGTCTCTTCAGTGATGTTAGGAATCGAAACTTTATTTGGAAAGCCATACAATTTACCTCAATTTAGGATAGACTCTTGAATTTTGAGGAGTCAAAATAGGATGAACGGATCATATAAACCCGAAGGCAAATATAATACAAGCCCAAACGAAAAAATATAAACAAGTCTAAATTGAAAACAACGTTCAAACCTATGATTGCGTTGGATAAAAACCGCAGTTTTTATACGTGTGCATGCAAAACAAATTTCTTGTTAGAGGGGTCTATATACAGCACAAACAACATTTTCCAAAAGACCAAACACATTTAAAGTGAAAAAGTATATTTTAACAAAACGCATTTGATTAACAGGTCGAACAACATATCTTCTTAAACCCTGCTGACTGTCATTGGCGATTGCCAAATAAACGGATTGAACATTATTACGGTTTTTCAATTCACGACATCGTCCTGAACATGCTTGAAATATTTGCCACTGGGCAATAAGCAACCAATAATCAATTAACCAATCAATTCATGACGAATAGATCAAGTTGCCTTAATTTCCCTTCACAAGGTTTCATATATAGTACATACTTTTTTGTGTACAAAGTAATTGTATGGATGATAAATTACACAATTTTAAGATGGCGTTGTACTCTAATCAAGGTATAAAGAACCATAAAGTAGCGTAGTTACTTAGTACACGGAAAAAGTATGTGCTATGAAAATTAGAAGGCAAATTCTAGCAATTTTGTTTGGACGAGATGTTGTAAGCATGTGCTAAGAAGTTTCATTCATGTCTGTAAATAAAAATAGTTTATATAGTACACAATTTGAAATCAGCATGTAATCATGATTAGACTTGTCTTTTGCATTGTAATAGATCACATTAAGACTACTTGTAATAAGAAAACGCATGATTACTGATAACATGTGATTACATTTCAACATGAAATCGATCACAGTTGATCACAATTACTGATAACGACTACTATATACCTATATCTTACACTTTTTTAGCAATGTAAATCACAAGCATTATGCCATGCCTGATGAAAAAGAAATTAAACAAACATTTGTTTAAGGTTAATGTATTTAGGACAAACACATTAAATGTCTTGTTGTAAGCACGAAAACACACTCGCTCTCAATCACCCTATACTAGATTTCCAGACTAATTTATAATTAATTTGCAGCCCCCCTCCCCCCCCCCCCCCCCCTAAAAAAAAACAACAAAAAACAATGATGTTGCAGCCGAATACATAGATAAACGAAATAATTGGTTATGAAAGACAATATTATGACAACTTACACTTAAATTTGTGTTATAATCCGTATAGCTGTTAGTTGAACACGTATCATTGTCTAACATGAAATCACTTGTATTACCACAGTCAATATAGCTTTCGGTGCTCATATTAGTAGTGTTAGCATCCATGTTTACGTGATAATGACGAAGCATAGGCATAACTGTTATTGTAATTGAAATAACTGGAAGATGATAGATATTTAAATGTCACATCTTTCGGAAATAACTTCTCTATTTTATACTAATGATTGAAGTAATTTCTTTTATTTTCATCCGATGAACCTTTACATTTAGAAGCGATAACTTACAGTTCTGTAAATAAACAATATTGGGTGTCCTACGTCCATATACCTGTTACCGACTTATGGGAATCCCACACGTAAACAATTGTTGAACAATTGTGCATGATCAAATAGAATAACAATAGGAATTCATCTGACAGTATGATAAAATATATGATTTTATTAATGATTTTTAGTTTCTGAATGGTTAATGTTTTAAGAAAAGATACAATTATGATGCATGGATTAATGTTATCAACGTTTGCAGAATATTCTGTGGCTGGATTTTCTCCTAGGATGTACATTCTTAATGTTAGCCGACCAATCCATGATGTATTGATATATTAGAAACGTACATCGTAAATACATTTATGCAAGAATCTTTTGAAATTTTGCAATTTCCAAAATATTTTTCATTATGCTAAAGCCTCTGCTCTTTCCGAAAATATTTTCATGAAATTTGTTTTTCGGAAATATTATTTAATCTTTTAAATTTCTTATCTTTCAAAAACTCAAAAATGCATATCTTTTTTTCTATATTTTTTGTGTAATGAACGTTATCTTATTTCCTGTGTTCTTGACGGATCACAAATTTGCATGTGTATAGCTTGTCGAAAGAAACACAAATAAAATATACAGCCATTCAGTTATTGCTATATATTGTGATAATGATATTGAGACAACAAGAATCTTTAATATATATTACATATAAATAATAAGTTTCTGAAACAAATATCGGACAAATATTGTCAGAGTTGGTAAACCAAAAATAAAAATATAAGATAGAAATTCAGCTAACACCGATCAAATGTGGATTTTTTTAAATAATCCATTTTTGGAGATTAAAGAACTCAAAAGGATCGGCCCGTCCATAGTAATTAACCATCTCGTGAGGTTATATGAAGCAACAAGTTAAATTCGAAAACTTTATACATGTTATAGACGATGATCAGCACGAAGAGCCTTTATGCAATGCAGTAAGTTCCAGAGCACAAACTATTGTTTCCGATGGCCCTATACTAACGTTGAAACAATTGTATATGTATGATATTAATTTTAACAAGACTAAGTGTAATTACAAATGAATATTATCAGTTCTAAGTATCATATTGTACCAATCATTGCAGTGGTTATGTGAACTATTTTGACGCGTGCATTTATACTTCCCGTCTTTAATATTGACGTGTTGTTTATATCTTTAGTGCTCAAGCGTTATCGCTCTTTGCACTATTTAACCAATCCATTTCTGGAGTATTGTTTGTGTTCTGGATGTTTATTACTGTGTATTCCTTAAGTATTCATGTTTTCAGGATTTATGCGTCCATTTTGTATGCCTTTGTTTCACTTATTTATGTTGTCAGTGCGTGTTTGAACTGTAAATTGTAGATGTACTACGTGCTTAAAGTATTTATAATTTTCAATATGGTTTTTGTTATATTGAACAGTAATAATCTATAATTGTATTTTTAATGTTTTTCTTGCAATTTCAGTGTTCATGTCTTCTTTCTTAATTCAATGTTTGATTGTTTTGAGCTCTTACAGAGAATATGCCCTCTTATGTCCGCTCTGCTCAACGTGGTCACTATATTTTACATGTTACAAATTATACTCTTCGTTTACTATGTTTCATTGTCTAATCTTTGTTTTCTATGAATCACTGTATATAAAAATAAGCAGATATGGTATGGTTGCCAATGAGACAACTATTAGCCGAAGTTCAAATGAAGTTGGTGTAAACAATTATAGGCAACCGGTCGGCCTTCAACAATGAGAAAAACGAATACCGTAGAGTAGGCGTGTTTCTGTTGTGTCGTAGTTCTCATCTTATATTTGATGTGTTTCCCTCAGTTTTAGCTTGTAACCCGTATTTGTTTTTTTTCAATAGATCTATGCATTTCGAACAGCGGTATACTACTGTTGCCTTTATTTAAAAAGCTTTGACATGAAACAAATCAAACAAATGAATTGAGAAAACTAACGGCCTAATTCACAACAAAACAACATACGAAAAACAAACATGACAGACAGGAACCAACAACAATCACCGAACCACAAGCTCCTGACTTGACTGACTTGACATATACTCTACTTTTGTAATGTTTCATTTTATACTATGTGTTTGCTATGGTATATATTATTACTCTATTTTTGTTTTGTTTTAATTTATAACGTATGTTTGATACGTTTCATATTGTACTCTATGTTTAACCCATATTTCATATTATATAGTGTTAAAAATTACAATATTTGTTGGCTTTATTTTAGAAGTATTACACAAATAACGAACAACAAGGTAAATTCAAGAAGAGGAAGTTTTTTTTTTTTTTTTTCATGATTTTTTATTATTTCTGAAATTGTAAGACGTTAATTTAAAAATGTATCTATACGAACATTTGATCGAGATTAATTATAGATGTAACGAATACAGTCGAACTGTTAGTGATAGTGACCAGATTAAACAAAAGTTTGTATATGAACACAACAGTTCATAAATTGCGTGCGTACTAAGAGCTTTTTTGGATTGCCTGTCATCATGAACTCTCAAACACAAATTATTATAAGCCAGTGATATGAAGAAACCTTTCACTCCAGTTTTGACGCATCATATGACAAATTGTATAGACGTCAGGACAGAAGCCAACAAAACACATTACCTCCGCCATACCTGTTTGATTTGTAATAAGTTACGTCTGGCCGTAATAAGATGTTAAATAAAATGCTTCGTGATTGGATGAAAAGAAATTCATTCTTACGGGAGACCTTTTTGAAAAGAAAAATTCATTCACATACCAAAAGGCCTTCGTGTTCTAATGACAGTTGGTCGATTCCTACTCGTCATAAATACATAGAAATAATTGCCACTTTACGCTTAGCAAATAGTCGCCAATCAAACAAATAAGAGTAATAATAGTGTAACCTTTCTGTATCTGTTTTTTAATAAGAAGGTAAAAATATCGTTATCTAAAGTTATTTTAAAACGATCCTATAACACATCATTGTGTCACATGATATTCCTTGTACTGTTTTTGTATGCAACATAGTTGACCTCAGAAAGTGCAAACATTTGTAGTCTTTATGATAAAATGCATTTTGGCACTGAAAAAATTGAAACAAATAATCCTTTCTTATAGTAGTATCATAAAGAGAAAACGACATTACTAATCTGTATATAATTAACCGTTGGAAATATAGTTTTTGACATCTTTGAATAGTAGTGGTTTGCATGTGTGAGATTATGATATCTTTAAACCATATACATAATAAAAGTGATCTTGCACATTAACGCACTACTGACTCAAACATTTGGGCATGACAGATTTTATTAAACGTTCTCGGAGACGTCTTAATTTACAATCAAGGACCTTAATAAACATATTCATACACCTAGGAACACGCAATACACTTTTATAACTAAATTCCGAAACAACTAAAAGTGCATCTCAGAAGTAAAATGATAATGGTATATGCATAAACTGAATGCTTATACATTACATGAATAAAGCTATTGAAAAATAATATCACGTAATGGATTGTAAACCAACTTATTGTTGCAGATTCTCATGTTTGCGTGTAGTCCTTTCTATCGTACCTTGCGTCGAGCTATTTTCGCGCTTTCCTTATTTTCATAAATAATGTATTAATACAAGGGAAGATCAATGTTTCACAAATTCGCGCATTTTGTTTTACTCAAGAAGGTCGCAAAAATAAATCGCTCGCTGAATTTAGTTGGTTCACAGTATAAATACAACAGTAAATTTAGTTTTATGTAAATAATGAACATAATTGAAGAATCCGTTCCGACTCTCATGATCTTAATATTACTATATCATATATAATATTTTCTAGATTTTAGCAAATAAGAAAGATAATAATACTGGATTAGACATACAAATATGATTTCATGTATGAAGTTTTTGTATTTTTAATTGCCAAAATGTGCAAAAATGCCCCTAAAATATTAAAACTAGGTAAAACAATCAAATGCTATACGTTTTTCTTCTTAGTGTCGTCGAATTGAATATTCTGTACACGGTTCATATAAAACACATAACAGCAATGATACATTCTTAATTTCAGAATTTTTATAGTCTATTTCATACAAGTTTGTGACTCTCATGCAACGGTTTTCATATATTCGTGATAAAGACATAAAAGTTGGACACAGTTAACAAATCATCAGCCTAAAGTCTTTAGTAGGATTAAGTCGAACTTCATTAATCAAACACCTCGTTTTAAACCCAGCCAAACAGTCATAATATGCTAGTCAATGGCCCCAAGTCTTTAAAAAGCAACGTTTTCTGCAAAGGGGGTACCTGTAAAGAAAGTCATTTTAAATGGTGAACAATTGCATCTTTTGAACTACAGCAGCAGGGGTATATAGTAATCGAATAATGTAAGGGTTGTCCGATTTTATATCAGTATATGTCAGCATAGGTTTACCGTCATTATTATAATACTGGATACCAAAACTTCACAAAACTCCGTATAAAGAACGATACATAGCTGGATCATCAAGATGTTCCACTAAACATCTTTCTAAAGTACTGACTACTATTCTTTCTACAGTAAAAGATGGCCTTCAAAAATACTGTGATTAGATATATTCTACCAGTGGTGTTAATCAGATGTGGATTCTCAAAAATTCTAAAGATCTACTACTAAATCTTAGATCACAACCTTTGCAACTTTGCAGCAACATTAACACTTTTGATTTTTGTACGCTTTACACTACTATTCCCTATGCTCAATTGAAAGATCGACTTCACCATCTCATTAAACAGAGCTTTATCTATAAAAATGGGAATCGTAGATACAAATTTCTTGTTTTGGGTTATAATAATTCCTATTTTGTGAAGAAC